GGTGCTCAGGTTTGTTTACGTTCACCCGGAAGTAGAACTTCTTCTTCTGTGTTTTTTTTAAGGAGAGTTTACCACACTGCGCATGTCAGAACTGCTGTTCAGAACAAAGCCCGCTGCATGTAAACGCTCATCATGAACTGATTGTGCCCATGTAAACAACACATTTGAATTATTCAAACAGAACACATTTCAATCCGGTCAGAGAATTCTGCGCATGTAAACATAGCTACTGTGGATCATGACATCTTGTGTCATAAGCTCTCAGAAATTGGTTTCTCAGATCATACCATTGGTTGGTTCTCTAACTATCTTTCAGATCGGAGGCAGTGTGTTCAATACAATGGTATTTCCTCCAGTTATTTAACAGTCAACAATGGTGTACCACAAGGCTCAGTCTTAGGACCCAACCTCTTTACAATCTACATAGGTAATGTAGGTCAGAGCATCCCCGATGCATCCTTACATTTCTATGATGATGACATAGTTGTTTATTGTCGAGCTAAAACAGTTGCTAAGGCTTTCCATCTTTTGCAATCTTCCTTTGACATTGTCCAGTCAGATTTGTTCCATCTCAAACTTGTCCTAAATGCCGACAAAACCAAAGGGATGCTGTTTTGGAAGCACAACAGCTCAGTGGTTAGCATTGTTGCCTCACAGCGAGAAGGTCCTGGGTTCAATCCCTGGTTGGACCCAGGGTCTTTCTGTGTGGAGTTTGCATGTTCTTCTCGTGTTTGCGTGGGTTTTCTCCGGGTACTCCGGTTTCCTCCCACAGACCAAAAACATGCATGTTAGGCTTCCTTCAGGCCCAGGCCTCCCTTGCAAAAGAGGTCTGTGATCTAAATGGGATTTGCCTGGTTAAATAAAGGTTCATAAATATATAAAATGTTCCATTCTGAAAAGTGATTTGTATGTTGAAATTTTGGATTTGTACACATTCATTCCATTTAAAATGACAGAAGTCAAAATAATTGGTTCCAGTTCCACCTCACCCCCAAGAAAAGTCCATCACCAGAAGTTTTAGCCCAGTAGAGGCACCATTCCTCCCCATGAGCTTTGCTAAAAGCTGTACTAAACACGATTTAAAAATGCCAAGTCAATGAACAGAGTTTCTATCAGTCACCTCATTCAGCTCGCAGCAGCGCATGAGGAGAGACAGCAAAAAGTCACTGTTTTGCAGCATTAGCCTAGCATTAGCGTTAGCACCTTCTTCAAAGACCATGTCAGAAATAAGCTTCACATTAAGCAGCTTTTCAGGCTCATCAAGGACCCATGGTGAAAGACTCTGATAAGCACAGTCACTTTTTGCCACATCCACTTTCTCCATTTCATTCCCTCTCAGAACGGTGTAGGTTGATGGTGATGGTGTACGCCTGAGTATACTGGAGGCTACTGAACAGGTCGTCCACCTTGATTTTCTGGGTTCATAACTCCTGCAAAGCTCTCAAACTTTTTAAACAGTGTTTTTCACCTCATTGATGGCAATGATGGATGCCTTCCTCCTCTTGCAGGGACTGAGGTGAAAATGATGGGAAGCTCATGCTCAAATATTCCCCTTCTGCTCACTTTAAACACCTCCAGTGGGCTTCTTCTTTTTCTGGTGCTGTTTGTTGGTGAGTAGCGAACAACCAGATGATCTGGAACTTGGACCAGGACATCAAACTCAGTTAAAGACTTTTGTTGCGTCTCTTCTACCGCACTGCTCAGCTGAGACACGAACAGAAGACTACCATCACTACCATGCAGTGTTACTGGCATTGTGGTTTTGAAAACACTTTTATACAAGTAAAGCACACAGTTTCAAACAGATATAATGGTATGGTACTGGTATTGGTATCCCATATGTCCTAAATCATTAGGTTTAGATATCAACAAATTCCATACTTTGTGTTTATGAAACAAACAAGAATGATTTATGTGTTCCCTTCTGTCTCTACCATGCTTTGAAGTCTGTCTGAGTTTGACCTGTCCCTGTAATAATGTCTCTCATAAAGAGAGACAGTTACATCCCATAACCTCTCCCCTCAAAACCCTCTTTCAAAGGTCTTTTTATGGGGGCAAGAAACCCAGGACACCCCTGGTTTCAGACCTGAGGTCAGCCCCTGAAGGGCAGCAGACCTTTAGGGACCTCCCATGAACGATGGAGGGAGGTCGACGAGGCAGGACATGAGGGCCCGACTGGCCCCAGGTACTGGCAGGGGTCCCTACCATCACCATGGAGATGGTTTCTACCCTGGTGTGTTTACTGTCAGAGGTCAGCCTAAGCCCTGCAAAGTTAACAAAGACTGGCATTGTCAGGGGAGCACTCTGAATATTAGCCAGATGACCTGCATACAGAGACCTCGTCTGTGCACATAACTTGTAGGAGATAACAAACCGTGCACAGGCTAGTTCAAGTCTTACTCATCGCTCCCAGTTTACCATTTATTTATTCTACTTTTCAGAATATCCTCACAGCCATGTCTGACCAACCTTACTAGTTTACCTGCTGCACTATTCGTTGAACAGTTTATCAATTTATTTAACATATTTTACATGTTTATCACTTTTCAGCTACTTAGCACTGTGCAAAAGTCTCGAGTCATTGCTGATCTTGTCATATTATATGACAAGATGTTTGTGTGATAATTTCTTTGGTTTTGATCAGTGATTCTCTTTGGACTTTTTCCACTCATTTGGGCATGTAAGTGTAAGTGTTTCTGACGGAGAATTTTTTTTTTTTTTTTTTACTTTTTAAGCTTCTATACTTTGATTTATGAATTATTCAGGCATCAAACAGTTCCTAAACTCAAAGGATGAACCAGTGTTGTCTCGACACAGAAAAGCCAACTTAGCAAGGAATTAATTTTAGAGAGGTTTTAGAGATTCTTTTTTTTTTTTACCAGCAGTTTGTCACAAAGCTGCTGTATCAATCTATGAAAAATTATATCAGTTTTTGCAGACATAAAGCAGTGTTTGGCTTCAAGAAGCTGGTTAACAAAAAGCTTTTTAGCTAAAGATTTATCAGATAAATGACAAAGAATGATGCATCTCCCAACTCCAGAGTCAGGTCTTTACTGGATCCCCCACCCGTTTCTTAAAAAGCATGATTTTCAAGTGCCATTAACCACCCACTTGTTCACTGTCATGGACAGACGCAAGGACCACGAAGAAAATTTGTGAAAAAAAGCTGCCAGAGAAAATGTTTAATAAATGTAGAAAGCCTGAAAATCTATTGCTCAAAGACCACTGTGAAAGGCTTCTTGGATGCCGGGTGCCAAATATTTAACCAAAGCTACACCTCGAAGCATTTTTGGTGCCTGTTGCTAACGTACGCACCCTAACTGATGTTTTGTTTTACTAAAGTCAGATACATTTCTCTACAAACTCAAATACTGCCAGTCATTTATTTATTTTTTGCTGGGACAGTGAGTTTGATGTTGGGGATGTTGTTTTCATACCTGCAAACTCGTCGCGTTTTGGCAAAAATTGCTGATTTCAAACAAAATTTGTAATTTACTTGAATCATCTAGATCCAAATATTTTTTTTGGGGGAGGGGGGGGGAGTTGTCAGAGGCATGGTAGATGGCATATCCCATTGACTGGACTTGCATAGCGCTAGCTTAGCACTACGTTAGTGCCAGCAGTTGTCGACCGGGGGGTTAGGATTTTTTTATACCTTTATTTTACCAGGAAGACATCCATTGGGATCATCAATCTCTTACAGGGATGTCCTGGGAGGATGTGTGGGAAAAGCAGAGTGCTACATCTGTAGCATCTTAGCTAGTGCATCTGTGAGCGCCACTAGCTTAGCGCTACATTAACGTTTGAACAATGTAGTTGTCTGCCAGATGCACCAAAATTTTGCTGTAAGATTAGAAAAGTCCAGCTGATTGTGTTCTAGACCTTGAAGGAGAAATGTCCTGTTAGGGAGACAGAAACCAAGTAACACAAGTTTTCTGGAAAGTAAAATTGGTAAAATCAGTGATGGGGAAGGAATAGTGGAAAGAAAAACAATGGGAGGAGGGATGGATGTTATTAGGCCTGTCACAATAATACATTTTGCTGGGCGATTAATTGTTTCAGAAATTATTGCAATAAACGATAATATTGTTTGAAAGTTGACAATAATTAGTAATTACTGTCAAATTTAAGAAGAAATGTTTGTTCATTTGTTTTGCTTGCAGTACATTTTTCGACCACCAAATGGCAGTATAAGACTGTTTGAACCGAAGGATGGATAGTGAGGGAGCGAGCAGCGTGTCTCTTTAAGAAAAATGGGAGGGATGCCCCTTGACGTGACATGGGCTGTCTCTCTTCGGTTTTCAAAATGGCAGACGCTGGTGTGGTTTGAGCTCTTTAGCATAGCATTTGTCACACAAAGCTTTTAATTAAAAAAAAATCAGTAAACAAGTTATCCGCTTCTTTTTGCGGAGAAAAACAACTTTTTAGACAAAGGCACGGGTTTCAACCGTGAATTTTTGGAGCTTCAACAAGACGGAGGTTTATTCCCGAGGTCAGCTTGTTAGCTTAGCTTGTAGCTTAGCTTCTCAGCTTAGCTGCCTTTAACGAGCCAAAAACGCTATTTTGGACGGTTAAAACAGATTTTAAAGAGAAAGGGGGAGGAGTCAGAGAAGAGCACTGGAGTTGAGAATTTTGTCATCCAGTGTCTTCAGTAGAAAGAGAGAGGCACTAAGAAACGATTAAGCCGATAAATGAAAGTGAGGTCGATAATTTTCATTTATCATGAGATTAATTGATTTATTGTTTATTGCAACAGATGTTATTCCAAGTAGATTGTGAAGGAAAGGGTAAAAGTTATGAAGTGTAGAAATTATGGCACCAAGGTAGGAAGGAACCTGTAAACCTACTTTTGTTTTAATAATTACGTACAGGATGACAAAACTGACAAAAGTGTTTGTTTGTATTTTTATGGTGGTACTGTTCCTTGGCACATTGTAATTTTGTGTTGTGAAGGCTGCATGATGCAGGTCATTTTTTTGTTATCAGTAGACCTCTATCACTAAATCAGATTATTTAAAAAAACAAAACATTAAATTCAGTGTTGGCAGTTATCAAAAAGTCCCCTGTTCATTGGGTAAAGTTAATATTCTTTAAACATGCAGCTGAGTGTCACCATTGCACAATGGCACGTTGTGTTACAAATTAAATTAAAAAAAATAAAAATCAAGTGCTCCCCTAAAGTCATTGATAAATTGTGTCACATTCATTTCATTATCTTAGCCATAAGAGTGAGTTTAAAAACAGGATGATGCATAAATGGACTATTTGACCGAGGAATCTGTTTCTAAAATAATTAATGTATCAAGTGTTTACATCTGTAGGTAAACAGATGTTTACCAACTCGTTAAAATACACCAAAATGCAATCGATCTATTTTGTTTAAATTTTTCAAGAGAACCCCGACTAGGCGCTAGGTTTGTCACCTTTCTCATCCCTTGTGAGTTTGCAGGTATGTGTTTGTTATTCAAAAACAGAAGCTGAAGGTGATAAAGTGCCCTGTCAGCGATAAGTAATCCCTCCCACACACACACACACACACACACACACACACATCACCGCATCCTCTTCAAGAGAAATTTTCTCTTTTATTAACTCTGATAGGAAGAGAGGCATCAAAAGGAGAAAGTTTTGCTGCAGCTTTGGGCTCATCAAAGTGTTTGTCGTCTTTGTGCTGTACTTTTTTGGGTTCGGTCCACTGAGACTAAAAAGGGCACCTACTGACTTGCTTCCAAGAACGTAGCAGTAATCCTGAACAGAGGCTCCCCTGTGGCTCTAAAGACCCCTGTTCAGCAGACACTGGTGACTGCAGCAGGTTCAAACTGTGAGCTCCTTCATATTGGCCGTCTAATCTGTCCAAGAGCTCTTCATGGTGTCTCCTGTTGCAGATGAGGTAGGTTCACGAAGCAGAGCTGCTCCGTCAGAGGTGTTGCTTCAATGATACAAAGATGTCTGTTGTGTCTGAGGGTGCCCGTGAGCTGAGCTGTGCAGTGTCTTTTTGCAACAACTGATTTATTCTGGTCTTGGTTTGAAAACTAAAGTAGATCACTTTTTGGAATGAAGTTTTCTCCTGCGGGTTTTTTGAATTTTTAACTACTGTGTGAATGCTCGTTCTGCATTGGGGAGTGGTGGCGCAGAGGCTAGAGAAGATGGGCCTGTGATGGGAAAGTCGCGGGTTCAACTCCCGTTACCGTCAACATCAAAATGTGGTTGGAAAAGGTGAAACGCCCACACCGGTCTCCACCCTCGCCTGCCCCACCCTGGGCCCCTGAGCAAGGCCCTTAACCCCCACCACCTGCTCCCTAAAACAGGTCTCTCTTGAAAATGAGTTCTCATGACTCAGTGACTACCTGTCTCATTGACAATATTATCGTTTAGCACAATAATTTCTGAAATAAAGGGTAAATGCAACAACAACAAAAAAAAAGCATTAGCTATTTTTCAGATGTTGTTTTTAATTTTTAACAATTTTTTGGTTTTTTTTCCTCATTCTAACTACTTTTGCATACTTTGTGCTACTTTAGCCCTTCACATAGCAAAACATTCATCTTATTCAAGAGATGGGTGACTTGGTTTTTGGAATTTGATTCTTTTCAAAATATTTACCTTTATTTACAAATATTCTCACTTTTTTTTTTTTTTGTATAATCTAGTTCTGGATAGGGCAGCACGGTGGCACAACTGGTAGAGCTGCTGCCTCTCAGCGAACTGGTTCAAATCCTGGTCTGGGAGCATTTCTGGGTGGAGTTTGCATGTTCTCTCTGTGCATGCGTGGGTTTTCTCCGGGTACTAGAGTTTCCTCCCACAGACTAAAAACATGCATGTTAAGCTGATTAGTAACTCTAAATTGTCCCTAGGTGTGAGTGAGAGAGTGAATGGTTGTTTGTCTCGTTTGTCTCTATGTGTCCCTGTGATGGACTGTAGACCCGTCCAGGATGTACCCCGCCCCTCGCACAGTGATTGCTGGACATGGGCACCGACAACCCCCATGACCCAAAATGGAATAAGCGGGTAAAGATAATGGATGGATGGATGGGTCTCTATATATGTGTCCATGTGATGGACTGGAGACCTGTCCAGGGTGTACCCTGTCCTCACACACTGATTGCTGGACATGGGCACCGGCAACCCCCATGACCCAAAATGGAACAAGCGGGTAATGGTAATGGAGGTAATGGATGGATGGTTCTGGATACTTGTTCTGTTTATGTCCTTTTATGCTACTTTTAGCAAGGGTGGTGCAGGGTTAGAAAAGACAAGCTGGAAGATCGCTGGTTCAACTCCTCGGACTGACAGCATAAAAATGTGGGTGGGGAAAGGTGAAGCACCCACACCTGCCTCCACCCACATTTGCCCCACCTTGGGCCCTTGAGCAAGGCCCTTAACCCCCACCATTTGCTCCCTCGGACACCCTATGGCAGCTCTCTGCTCCACGCAGAGGGCTGTGGTAGCTCAGCGGTCTGTGGTTGCGTCAGGTAGGGCATCCAGTATAAATTAAAAAAACAAAACAATTGCCAAGTCTTCGTGTTAGTTTGCTGTGGTGACCCCTGAGGAAGGGAGCAGCCGAAAATATGCTACTTTTAGCAGTTTTCAGCCAGCCTTTTGCTACTGTTATCTAGATTTTTACTACTTTTAGCTATTATTTTGCTATAGTTGGTTTTTAGTTAGCATTTTGCTATTTATAGTTAAAGCATTTCGCTTCTATTAACTTTTAGTTAGCATTTTGCTACTTTTAGCTTGTAACCAGCCTTTTGCTTCTGATTAATAGATTGTTGCTACTTTTAGATATCATTTTTCTGCTGTTAACTTTTAGTTAGTCTTTTGCTACTTAGCTAGTTTAAATTTTTAGCTAGTATTTTGCTGCTTTTAGGTTTTAGCTCATGGTCTGCTCTTTTAGCTGTAACAGCTGTGTTTCAGCTTTTTCAGCAAATTTCATTGTCATACAAAATGTCATTCAGCACTAAACTGTCACACTGCTTTAAAAAAAAAAATATATATATATATATATATATATTACATAAAACCCTTTACTACTACTTCTAAAAAAGTTAAATCTGGTCCTCTGGACATTCAAGAAAACAAAATAAATTTTTTTTTAGAAACATTTCGTTTTTCATCCGAAAGACTTCTTCAGTCTGAGGTGCTGCATTCAGCTCAGTCTTATATATAGCACCTTCTCGTAGAAGCTGGTTTTGGTTGTCAGCAGCAAACTGGTTGATTTACTACGAGAAGGTGCTATTTATAAGACTGAGCTGAATACAGCACCTCAGACT